TGTAAACAGGAATTATGATGTTACATGATATGGATTCAGCAAGGTGGTGCAAACTGGCACTCATGAAAGTGTGCAGAGCGATCAGCAGCTCCTGCCTGCAGTGCACCAGTTATAACTGCCACTAAATTGTTTTAATAATAAAGAAAAGTTGATGCAATTAAAATAGATTTAATTAAAGTTTAGTCAGAGATGAAAAATGTCGACTCTCGGGGCAGACAGACAGAAACTATAGAAAATGAAAATAAAAGGAAGGATTTGCTGATCTCCAAAACCCAAGAGCATCTTAGAGAGGCAGTTTTTCAGAAGTATAGGCAGGCAGAGGTTATTACTCTGTCCCTACATCACTAAATCTTCTCCTCCTGCCTGGCAGCTCCATATTCAACATCCTTTGCCCAGTATATGCTCTATCCCTCCTCTGCACATGTTCAAACTCTCTCAGCCTCGCCTCTAACTTGGTCTCCAAACTGCTGAGCTGTCCCTCTGATGGACTCATTTCTAATCTTGTCCCACCTCCTCCAGCTTCACTTCCTCTGTTTTTGACAGTGCCACCACCTGAACCACAGCAGGTCTCACTACTATCATGCAAGCCTTCTCTTTCACGCTTGCTCCTGTCCTTTATCCCAAAACACCCCTGATGCTCATCTCCACCCACTCCACCCCGCCTGCGCTCTCTAGATGAGTACAGCTTCACCAATCTGCATAAAACTGGATTTAAAAATTGTGGACCAGTTTCAGAATGTATCTGTGAACATCATCATCTACAGGACATAATACGAGGTCAGCATTAAATGTTAAAATTACCTTTTACAAATAATTCCCACATTTGAGTTTTCTATACAGCACTGGTGATGTGAAATCAAACACTCGTGCTGTGGTTTTTCCTTACAGTAAAGCCAGTTTTGCCAGTTAAAGCACCACCAATCTGCCAGTGAAACATTTAGGACAGACTCACTGGATATCAGAAGTATAGTTTAACCCTGTGTTTCCCAACCTTTTGGAGCCACGGCACATATTTCACATTAGAAAAATCACACGGCACACCAACAAAAATGTCACAAAAATCATATTGATAAGTTTTCCCCGTACACCAGGTATAGCAGAAATGGCTCAGTTTGTCCCCTGTATAACTTTTTTGCTTTCTTCTGACCATGTCATGGTTCTGAGTCCGTGACTCAGTGATTTTGTGTTTGGTGTATTTATTGTTGTTGTTGTTATTATTATTTGTGGGCTGTTTTGGGATGGTTTGTGTTTTGGGGTTTTGGATGCTGGGTTTCTGCTCCCTCTGTTGGTCCCTGGTGTTAGTGTTCCCCTGTCTCATCAGGTTAATCAGGTCCAGCTGTGTCTCCCACCTGTGTGTGATTTCCCAGTGTCCCTCTGTGTATATTAGTGTGTGTCTGCCACTGTTCCTCGTCGTGTCGTCTGTATTCATCCTCTGTGATCTCCTGGAAACTCTTTGTGAATCTACTGTGTGCTCTCCCTGTCGTCCTCCCCCCGTGTTCAGGTTTGTCGTTCTATAGTTTAGTTTTCCCACTTTAGTTTATCCTTAGTTCTGTTTTTCCATCCCCACTTTGTGTTCTGCATTTACAATAAACCACATCTTAGTAAGTGCTGCCTTTGAGTCCTCTTTTGCCCCAGTCGTGACAGACCACTACTCATGCCAGGGCCTTCATCTGGGTCGGAACTTTCTCCAGGCCCCAGGTCGGATTGACTACTTTATTTTCAAATATTTATCTATTGCTATTATGCAATGCGTCGTCTCACACCATGACTATTAATTAACCATTAATTAATGTAATTTCTTCTTCTGTTTTACTGGCAGTTGGCAACCCCTTTAATTAGAGCAGGTAGTTGTACTGCCCTCTGGTGGAAGAGGATATAATTGTTCTGCCCATTACTCTGCCAATCGCTCAGAGTACCAATCAGGTGGAACCAGATAATCTCCCAAGGCACACCTGACCATTTCTCATGACACACCTATGTACCACAGCACGGTGGTTGGGAAATACTGGTTTAACCTCTCTACATCCACCAGGTCACCAGCATCACATCTCCGACGAGGGCTGAGTTTTGTTTTAGCATGGAATCTGTTTTCCTGATAATCAGCAGTCTGTCAGTGACCTTGTGACCTCACATTATAGCTGAGATCAAAATGCAGTGGTGTGGAGTCTCACCTTACAATGCTACAATTGAAACCTTTAAATACTTAAAAAATAGAGCTGTTATTATTGTTCTGCCAATAAATACAGCTCTACAAATACAAAATATACGTTTCTGTTCTAGCGCCCCCTACAGTCTCTGGTTGTGCCTCTTAACTCAACATTGTGTAAACAACAGGTCAGTACATGCAGCAGCTTAAAAAAAACAGACCAGGTTTTCAGTTTTTGTAGTTTTTATTTTTTTTTTTAGAGTTGTTTCAAAAAAATCCAAAATGACTGAGAAACAGATAAATTATGGCTCTGATACAGCGGGGAGCAAAGACTTCATTTGACCTTCATTTGGACTGTACCAAGTCTGAACCCACCCCTCTGAACTGCTGCGAGGACAGAGTCACCTCCTACAGTAAAATGAAGAATTTTACCAAAGTACGTCAAAGTAATGACGTCACAGATGAGGACCACCAACCAGAAAAACATTAAAAAAGGTAATGAAACATTTTACTGAGATTTAAAGGATCACTTCAAGCATATATTCTGTGTTTGTACACCCGCAGACAGCACAGGTAGAGACGTTTAACATTTTCTGTTTTACTGGAGTTAAAGTGGACCTATTATGCATATCCTCATTTTACTTACTCTGTACACAGTTTTTAGCTCTAACTAAATCTCTCCTCCGATTCATTTAGGTAGCAGCTTCAAAATAAGCTTTTGTTCCTTTTATTTATTGATTTTCATTCTGTTATTTCCTGTACTGTTTTATTTCAGTTTAAAGCTCAGGACTGTTTTAAACGCTCAGTTTCAGACAGTATTTCTTTTTTTACTCTTGGCTCTGGATGACATCATAGAGAGTGGATGTTCCTAATATGGTTGTCTCAGACACAAAAGACGTTTTTTCCTTCTGTGAGAGGCAGAGGAAAGTTAGCTCAAAGGGAGGGTGACCTTTAAAGGTACTTTTGTAAAAACCCTAAAAAAAATTAACAAAAACTTTCACCACAAGGTGGCAGCATTTTCCAAACTCGTTTTAGTATGGGTGTGAATCCCCAACAGCTGACTTTTAACTAATCTAATGTTTCTATACCTATATTCTCTTTTAGTTGGTACACATAAATATGACAATAACATGAATTTTGAACAAATGCTGAGCTAAAAGCAGCTTGAATTAGATTTAAATGTTTCATGCTGCACCATCTTGTGGTTCAAAGTGGTATTGCATAAGCCTGCAGCACGGCCCTATTTAACCTTAAATTGATATCACTGCAGCACAACACACACCTGTCCTTGACATCACACCCTAAATGTTATTGACAGTTTGTTCATTTTGACAGGCTTTCAACTTGCCAGTCACAAAGTTTTACAAAACGAACCTTTAAAGCGAGGGGTGAGGGGCTGCACCGAGGCCCAGTATGACATAAAAAAAAAAGGATTATTCTGAACTGTGAATCATGCAAAGCTGCAGCAGTTGAAGTGAGCATATATATATATAGGTCCACTTTAAAACACACTTTTGCTTCAGAGTAACCACAGAACAGCTCAGCTCAGCGGTGGGGTTCAGACCAGGACACAAAGATACACGGTGGTGGTTAACACACTTCACACAGGCTTTGGATGTTTACTTCGGTGCCTTGCTTAATGACACTTCAGCAGCCACTGTCCAAATCTGTGCCCTCAAAAAGATCATTAACATGAGTTTATCATCCACGTTAAAGGGTTGGTCTTCCACTAGGACTGTGATTCTTTGTGAAAGGGTTTCATGTTTTCAAGCTTAAAAAACACTTTTGTTTATCACATGGCCAAAAAGAACAGGAGACGGGATTCTTTGCCGTCACGATTTACAGATCAGTCATGTTTACGTGCTTAATCGTCCCACAAAGGCTCACTTTAAGCCAGGAAAACCCCTGAATGCTATGTTAATACATCTGCCAATGCTGCAACTATCAGAAAATAACCTGCAACTATTTTGGTAATCGATTAACCGTGTGAGAGATTCAACCCATCACAGGTTCAGCGTTACATATTTTGGAGACAGGAAATGTCAATATTTTTTGATATGTGCTAGTTAGTAAGGATGTTTTCTTGTCCTCTGATCACTAAAGTTTAGTTAAAAAAAGATTGAAGTCAAAAAGCGTACAGGTTAGGAAACATATCCTCCGTGACGACTGTATCGTCACCTTTTTTAGAGAAAATCAATCGCTGCTGCTTTTGGACTTTTTTTGTTACATAGCAAACTTCTACAGATGTCAAACTGGGTAAGCGTGAAAAACATGCTTTCACTTTTTTCAATATTTGAGAAATTTACAGATTAAAAAAAAAACAAAGAGAAGAATCAGCAGATTACAGCAAGCTGCATCCCTCAAATGTTGCCGTGGATCGTTGCCGTCACTCTGATAGAAAAGCAGTCCTGCATCTTTGAAACAGTTTAAGGCCAGAGGTACATTAACAGTACATAAAAACAATAAAATCATAGAGACTGTTTTGAATAAATGTTTTGGAAACGTCTGCTGAGTATTTACATTGCAAGTGTTCATTGTGTGAGCAAACAGTCGTGGCTGCTGATGGATGCTTTGGCTCTTGCAGGATCTGAACCTGAAACAGGAGTTTCTCCTTTGTTTTTAATTTTTTTTTGCTAACAAGAAAATTTTTTGTTCCAAAACACTTACTCAAATATTGACATCTGAATCAAAAACAACTAATTTTCTATGGTCGATCAGCTAAAAACAATCAAATAAAAACAGTGAGTTTGTAAACAAAGGCAAAAACAGATTGTTGCTGTCATTTTTTTGTCATCTTGTAAAATATACACCTCGTATCGCACAGTCGTCCAGGCAGGACGAAAACGACATCGTACCATCTCGCTTCTAAAAAATAGGATTAAGATATGATCTCCCGTATCGTACACAGGCGTCCTTCGTGACTGCACGTTTCAGCATCGCCACAACTCATTATTTTGTTTCTCTCTATCTTTAACGTACCGTATAAAAAAAGTTTGTTCACATGCACATTCTCTCCCTCAGCCTGAGCGTCGAGCCCGCAGACCGAAGCCCCAGAGCCGCAGATGGAGCCACTTCTCATGTTTGGTGATGGATAAACACAGAGTTTGATTTTCCTCTCGTACAGGATGTCAACAGCACAGAGGTCGAAGCAGGATTAGAGCTGACAAGATAACTTCAGGTTTAACTCTGAGTGATCAGTTAGGAAGCTCACAGAAACTTACGCAGAGCTCAGAGATCAGCATGTGCAAAACGGTCATCTACCGACCAATCCTCACCCCTGATCTCAGCCAGCGTCTGCAGCTCGTTGTTTCCTGAGCAGTGTCAATAAGAAATGTGGATTCTTATGAGCAACTGTTGCAGGACTTTCCTTTTCTCTTTTTTGCTGTCGATTTATGTGACTTCTAAATCCGTCTTATTGCTCTATAAACCATAAAGGAGTTTTATTTTCTGCAGGTCTGCTAGGGCCCTGAGTGACGCAAAACCATCGTTCTTCACAGCTTCACTACCCCTAATGCTACCTGCACACTGGAAGCGATTTGCAGCGACATGGCGTAAGCGGTGGATAACATTTCAGGACTTCAACCAATGGGAAGAGGGCGGGACCCAAATATAAACTTGAGACCAAAGAATACCTGCGATCGGCATTTGGCCTGGTAGTAAATATGTTAGAGGGTTACTGAGACACCCGGAGACTCGTAGGTTCGCTTCCAGCGAGTATGCAGCTTTAGCGAGACAGCGAGTGTTTGCTGATAAGTCTGCAGCTTCCACACGAATCATGGACCAGTGCAGTCGCATGAAGGCTTTCAGTGCAGCTCATGTAGCTGTTTGTGATGAATTTTATCTAATGATCACTGCAAGCACTCGTTGGTTGCTCAATGCTAATGTTTCCCTAGCGACTGTTGGTCGCCAGTCAGTCTCTAGGCCTGTGTGACCGAGGCCTCACTTACATGTTGGACCCTCAAGTTTGGGTTCAGACACTGAGAGGTCGACTGACCTTTACAGTCGTGCAATCATATCTATATGAATATTTAAAGCCAGGGTTCACATCTTGAGATGATAAAACCTTCATGTGAGGCTAACAGGACTGCAGATGTTGGTGTACTGGAGGAGATCCAGCACCTGTAAAGCCTCACAGCTGTAAGGGGACATAACGGGATAGCAGCAGTGCTAACAGCTGTCCAGATGTGCACCAGATGACATTGAGAAGGAGAAGGTTTTTGATTTCTACATTTCTTTCTCCTTGAAGTTTTTGATTGTACTTCATATTCTGCACCTTCTCCTGATTTTGAACCCTACAGCTGTGAATGATTTCCTCTCAGCGTAAAATGAAAGCTTCCAGAGAAAAACGTGTCCAAACCGGGTCCATCGACGGCTCTGGGTCCACCAGTGTTTCCTCCTGATAATTAATAATCTCCTAACTCACAGCTCACACTGCAGACACGACAACGTACCACAAATCGTCTGCTCCGTGTCAGAAACTACAGAATTTAACGCTACAATCAACAGAAGTAATAACCCAACATCCCCCGCTGTGACACTCACAATCACGCACTAAAAAAATAACAATAAAATGAAAATCAACAAATGCACTTTTAGAAGATGATGAAACGGGTACGGCCGTATCCGCCGATGCATCACAGGAAGTTAAAACACACAGACACACACACACTCAGTGGGCGCTGGTTGGCTGTTTGTGGTCCGGGGTGTTTACAGTTAGAAACAAACATCATTAAAAAAACAAAAACAGTCTTTGGGCTCTCGCTCCCACGCTGTGGTTGTTCATGCCGGCTGAGAGGGTGATGATGCCAGAAGTGACATCACTTCATTACAGTTAGGCCCCACCTTCCTGTCTGAGTCCAGTGGAGTGTCGAAGAAGGAGATGTTACCTTTTGCCATCCCTGTGAGCGTGGAGTTGGGGGTGGGGGATAAGGGAGGTCAAGCTTGGGGTCAAAGGTGACGGGGTGAAGGAGGAGGTAAAAACAGAAAAACAAGGAAGGAGAGAAAGAGTGAAGGCGTTCAAACGGTTGGACAAACCCAGCCAGCAGCCATCGCCGCCTTCACAGGAGGGATGACAGACACACAGAGACAGAAGGGAGGAGCCAAAGGAGAGCTAGCGGTTGTTCTTGGCCGCCTCCTTCGCCGCCAGAATGAGAGGAGTCAGACTGGAGAGCGGCTTCGCCATCTTCAGAAACTGATGCTGAGGGAGGAAGTGAGGGGCGGATAGGAGGAGGGGACAGAGGGAGGGGGAGAGAGAAACAGAGAAAGACTTCAGTTCACTGCACAGAACATTCACCACAGGCCTGCAGCGCTGAGCAGGATCTGCAGGCTTAGCGAGACAAGTTCAGGTGTGACCCTGGGCGTGCAGCAGGACAGGTGGATCACGTCACCACGCAGAGTTATGCTGCAGCTGTAACTGCTCTGGAGCAGGTGGTGTTTGAGATCAACGGGTGCAAAATCACTGCTTAAAGACCAATCAGATACCTGGAGGAGCCCTCAGGAGTTTTTGTCTTTCATTTAGCATCAATGAGAGAAAACAGATTCTTTGGTTCAACTTTATCCCTTTATTCCATTTGATTGTTCTGTAAGTATTAACATATGTACTTAACCCTAAAACAGGGATTACATATGTTGAGTAACCTGCTCGAAATCTGTTTTTAGTTATTCTTTACTTCATTCAGTGCTATCAGAAACCTGCAGGACACTTTCAAAGTCATTCTCCTCACAGTGCCGACTGTCACTGACGTCACTGCTGTCAAACTGCATCACAGATCCAGGCAGAGGAAATCCATTAATACTACGTACATTTTAAACATGGTGCATTTTCTTAAACTGTTAAATAGAAATACTAAAATTATACAGGCTGTTTGGCTAATGAGCATCTTGAGACATTATGGGAAAGTTTGACACCAAAAAAATGGCAAATTCACCATATAGACCAGTACTAGCAGATTACTGGCACATGAAGTCCAGTATAAATACAGACACGGGTGCTTCGGACATAAAGTCACAGCAGCTGTTTCTTTTGCATGCAAACTATTTTCATCTACAGTGAGCCCCTTTAAATCAGTTTAATGCCTTTAATGCAAATACAGCACCGTCCCTGTCATCATCTGTCTTTACTTTACAGTCTAAAGCACCTCGAGGCAACTGTTGTTGTGACTTGATGGTATACAAATAAAACTGAACTGAATCTTTTTATTATGAGCAAACCTGAGTAACTGTGGAAGTCCTCTTATTTAATTGTCTCTCTCTCACTCAAATGTCTTCAAACTTGTAAGGACCAGGCTTTTAGTCTCCAAAAGTTTGGTGAATTTCCAATTTCTGGTCCCCACAAACATATGAATGCACGCTCGCACACACCTGAAACAACCTTTTAACTTTTATTTCAGACAACGAGCCCTGTAACTGCGCACACACACTCAGAGGAGCCATTAAATTGAATTACATCTTCCACAGAGCTCCTCCTGAAACACTACAAAGACCTGCGAGATCTGACTCATCGCAGTTACACAACTCACGTTGCTCCTCACTCACACCTCCACCTCGTCTCCACACCCACTCAAACTGTCTGTCTGTGAGGCTCGGGCCTCCTCTGAAGGAGGTGAAGTGCTCAGCGTCAAGTCTAAATGGATGTTTTATGCCAAATTACAGATGAATCTGTCAGATATCTAACTTCGAGATAAGCGACGCCTGAAGGAGGAAAGCAATGCCAGTCAAATACAAAACTGCAGATCTGAATATTACTCTGATATTCAAAAGGAAACCATCAACTTTCTATTAACTTTACATACACAAACTGGGAAAATAATAATAATAATAAATGTTACTTTATAGATTAAAGAGTCAAATTTCTGTTCATTCTCTGGAGGCTGCTCGTTCTTCTTATCTGATTATCTGATTTTCTTTCTTTGTTCTTTTCCGTTAGAGCTGCTGCTGAGAATCTGTATGTCAGGTTTAATAATATCAGTATCATAACTATATTATGACAATAAGGTTTTACGTCTCTACATCAGTACACGTATGAACAAATGCACGCACCCAAACACAATATGTAAGTTAACTTTGTCTGAGCCAAAAGTTGACAAACTCTTTGTCTACAGCAGCTAAAAACAAGTAGATATAACCTGTGACACAAAAGGAAAATATTGTCATAAATAGATCAATTAAAAAAGTGAGAATTGTGACAAAGTCAACATCTCAATATCATTTAAAATAACTCCAATAGAAATAAAATAAGTATGAATTTAAATAGTGGAACCTGTACTTTACTGAGATATTTCTATTTTCTGCTGCTCTGTTTAAAGTGGCGGCCATGGCTCGTCGACCAATGGGAAGGTCGGTGGTTTGAGTCTGGATCCTCCTGTGTGAGTCCTTGGGTGAGATACTGAACCCCGGAGTGAGTGTGTGCGCATGTTAGCCAAAGTGCTTAGGTAGGTGTGTGAATGATGCTCGCAGTAAAAACTCCTCAGGGCTCATTTAGAGTGTGATATAAGTCCCTGACCCTTTATTGACTGTCTGTAGTCTCACTCAGACCAGAGCAGCTCCTCTCCACTGGTCTGAGGTCTGATACGATGTTTTAAAGGTGGCCAATCACGGCACATTCGTTGCTACTAATTTCCAATAAAGCTGATTTGTTTTTGTGCGTCATTTCTGTTGCATCAAATCTCAGCAGTGCAGTTCGATGTCCACCGTGTGACTGACTCACTGTTTTATGGATGTCGTTTCATTTCCTGTTTAACGTGTTCTTTCTGTCTTTCAGGTAGTCTTGGTTCTAGTTTCTCGCGTGTCTCATCGTTACAGTTATTGTGTTTTCCAATGTTTCTCATTGTGTGTGTTTTAATGCTTCGCCCTTCACGGCGTTGCATATTAAATGTTTATGACTGTTTGGTGTTAAAGTTACAGGTTATATGTCCTCTGTCTAATCTCCATGAAACAAACTGTAGTCAGTCACTGAGGGCTGGGATGGTTAATCAAAGGAGCGATCCTGTCTGCTCCTGCCCGCCTGGCCCTGAATCCCCCCGTTTCCAGCTTTCTTTGTGCTTTTCTGCGACTCCTCCTCTAACCTATCCGGTCAGCTTTGTGCAGCTCTTTCTGTTTTCAGGAAGTTTTAATAATGAAATATTGTGTTAGTCTAACCTGGCAGAGTCCAGGATCCACACAAGGCTCATGTTGACCTTTCAGCTTTGTCGCTGTTATTCGATAAATCTGTGGATGTTTTATCAGGTAAATGTTTGAAACAATCTTGGAGGTTTCGGGGTTAAAGGATGTCGAGATCGAGTGAGCGTCGCTGCTGTCTGTTCACTGAACAGTGACACAAACCAGACATCAGAGTGTTTCCTTCCTCGGCCTGTCAGATTAATGATGCACAGATCCACACTTTAACATCACAAAACCAACTGAATAAATCATTTATGAACTTTTTATGTTAAATCTTACATTTTACTTTTACTGTCTATTTATTCTTTTTTTATTTGTATTTAAGCTCTAACTGTACATTTTCCTCCCAGACAAACTGAAACCAAAGAGTTTCATTAAAAGCTTTTTTCTGTCGATAAACACAAACGATCGAGGAACTAAAAAGAAAACGTTCCAACACAAATTCAGAGCGATGATGAATCTGGATTTATGTTTGACATTTAACATCCAGGATTTTGTTGTTTGTTATGTTTACATAAACAAATACACTCGTTTTCATATCTTAGTGAGGACATCTCATTGACATAATGCTCTCCCAGCTGCTTACTCTAACCATCAAAAATGAATGCCTAATCCCAACCCTGACCGGTGAGTGTGTCCTCACAACTGACTGTTGGTTCTCACAAGTATGGTAGCATGCCAATTTTCTGGCCTCAGAAAGACGTATAAACATGTACACACACACACACACACACACACACACCTGCAGCAGCTCTTTAGCCGAGCCTCTCTTCTCCACGTCCATTTCCAGACATCGGTTCAGGAAGTCTCTGAATATCGTCGACAGCTTCTCCGGGTTCTGCAGCTCCGGCGTCCCGTTGGTTGCTATGAGATACAGCGCCTAACACGTGAAACACACACAAGCAACATGTCTGTCTTCATCCCCACGAGGCAAACTCAGAGTCACAGAATGAAGGATTGGTGCCATCCAGTGGTGTCTTAAGAAATACAGAAGAAATACAGGACTGTGCAAAAGTTTCAGGCAGGTGTGGAAAAATGCTGTAAACAAAGAATGCTCTCAAAAATATAAATGATTGTTTATTGGCCACAAATATATTCTGCAGCAGGACAACAACCCCAAACACACAGCCAACGTCATTAAGAACTATCTTCAGGGTAAAGAAGAACAAGAAGTAGTGGAAGTGATGGTACGACCCCCACAGAGCCCACAGCACATCATCGAGTGTGTCTGTGATTACGTGAAGAGACAGAAGGATGTGAAGAAGCCTGCGTCCACAGATGATCTGAGGTTAGTTGTCCAAGATGTTTGGAACAACCTATCGGCCGAGTTCCTTCAAAAACTGACTGTCAACATTTTGTTGAATGATGAAAATAAATGATTTTTTTGAAAGCATTCTTTGTTTACACAAGTTTTCCTCACCCGCCTAAACATTTTGCACAGTACTGTATGATCACGTGCACTGTGCTGACCTGAGTACACAGAAAGATAAATCTGCCTCATTTTCCAACAGCTGTATGTGTAAGGAGGCTTTTTAAAGATAAATCATAGACTTTGATACAATCTGTCTGAAAAACAGAGAGTCGTGATCCCAAAAGTCTTTTCTCTCATAAATCTGAGGATGGGTGTCTTCTTCTCTCTTCTCCAGGATCTGATAAGATACTGGAGAGAGCCTGGGGTGGTTACAGCTGGGCAAACTGGGCATCTAAAGTTTTGTCTACCAAAAAAACCCTATTAAATTAAAATCATCTCAGCGTTCTGGAGAAAATATCACAAACTAACCTGGATCCATATCTGCGCCAGGACTTAAGTCATGCATGGAGTGGAGGGATTTCCCTCCAGTTGTGAAGTAGGGAAAGCGGCTGCTCTGACTAAGCAGTGCGCCGTAACACACAGCTGCAGCTGTTGTGCTAATTTTGAGTTGCTGAAGTGATCTTGGCCTACGTTCCCCTTTTCAAACCTTTTTCAAAGAGCCTCCCCCTCAGAACTCACCCTGAGCGGATTCTCGTTCAGGTACGGCGGCTCTCCCTCCACCATCTCTATCGCCATGATGCCCAGAGACCAGATGTCCACTTTGGGACCGTAAGCTTTACGGGTCACGACCTCCGGAGCCATCCAGTACGGCGTGCCGACCATGGTGCTGCGTTTACTCTGCTCAGGAGTGATCTGAGCGCAGAATCCGAAGTCAGCTGAGAGCAGGAGAGCAGACAGAGTCAGTCGATGGAAAAACTGAGAAAACATTAATGGAAAGCAGTGTTTGGTAGATGATGATGATGATGATGATGGGAAAAGAAAACGCCTCTCGAGGAAATGTAGGTTTTAAGGTCGGGCTAAAAGCAGCACACATCCAGTAACATCCCACCACACCTGCCCCCTGGTGGTGAAACATTCATTTAAAATTGGCAGTGGGTAATTTAAAAACAGTATCCTTAACAACTGCAAAGTTAAAACAGCGAGTTAAGAGTTGAATGTAAGTTTTTGTGGACTGACTGAGCTTGACGGAGCCGTCCATGCCCAGCAGGATGTTGTCGCTCTTGATGTCTCGATGGATGACCTGGTTTGAGTGCAGGAACTCCAACGCCTGGAGACACTGAAAAAACAGAAAACTATAAATTTAGCATGTAAAATATATATGTTAAAAGAAACACGCCAGAAAAAAATGGAGAAACTGACACTGTAACTGAAGATAATCTGAGATTCACAGGAAAGAGCAAATATCCAGCTTCATATTTTTATTGCAACCTTGTCGTCAACCTCAAACTGAAACAAACTGTTTAAGCTCCTCCCCCTCTTCTGACTGGCTGCTCCGCACAAACTGAAAAACCAGGGGGCGGGGCTTCACAGGCAGTGAAGTCTGAGAATATCATATTGAGATATCCACTTTCATGACATCATACAGAGCCAACAATAGAAAAACTGTCTAAAATTGAGTGTTTATCTGGAGCCTGAACATAGACTTTGTTTTTGAACTACGCCGTGTTTAACACCACCACAGGAACAGGAAACGTGGATCTCAGGGCAGTTTGTGAAACAGTCACATGATCATTTGTCTGCCCCCTCTCACAACGATTCATGCACATGTAAACAAAGTTGTTATTTTTTACTTTTAAAGGTTGAAAAGGTCCACATTTGAGGTTAGGAGGGAGGTTGGAGGGTTTGAAATCATTTTTCTTGTCCAATTTAGATTTTTTACACTTGATTTGTATTATTTTCATTGGGATGCTCATTTTCATAAGTAATAACTTGGTTAGGTTTCAAAGTTAAACGCAGCTGGTTTGGGTATAGAAAAAGATGGGTTAAACTGGAAAAGTTAATAATTTAATAATTTGATTATTTTGTTGAAAGATAACTCCAGTGCAAATTCATTAGTGATGAACACAAACAAATTACAATTTGATGAGTAGATAATATTTATCTTTGAGACCGGGCTGATATAAAAATGAGGAAAAGCAGAACAGAGTCACTTCAGGAATTTTGCTCGAGGTTAAATTTGAGCTCACGTTAAATATTGTGGGAAAAACAAACAAAAGAAAACATTTTTTTCCCCAGAAGTAGAGATGTGTTGCTTTTCTGTCACTGGGAGCTCGCGAGAGACAGCACGGAGATCTCAGAGTGAGAGCTGTTTTTACCTCTCTGCACACAGCAGCAATCTGGGCTTCATCCATGCACGTTTCTGTTACGACATCAGTCAGCGAGCCTCCGGCCAGGTACTCCATCACCACCCAGAGCTCATCACCCACCAGGTAACTATTGAAATTAAGACATTTTATTGGAAACTGAGCTTCAGAACTTATGACGTCTTTTCCTGCAACCATGAAAAAAGTTAAACACAAGAAACATTTTTTGTTTTTTTGCTGTTCTGCTAAGAAAAAGATGCAAATATCAGAAAATCTGTAAACTGTTTTGGCTTGAGTAATTTGGAACTTTGGCCTTAAACCTTTTCACTGTTGAAGTTTTGTTGGCATAGATGCAAATTAATCATTTTAATAACCGCTTTTCTTCATTGTTTTCTTTTCAATCGATTAATCTATAAAACGTTGAGGTCGAGTCCTCAGCTTTCATTTTTAATAGCACAAAGTCAAAGACATTTAGATCTGGGAAAGCGGTAACCACAAACACAGCAGTTTCTTTGATACATTAAACTTAAAGTTTTAGGAATAATTATTAATTTTTAATTCATTTGGTAACACGATAACTTTAAAACAAGTTTTAGCATCAGATTTACCAAATTACGGCAAACAATGTATCGATGAGAGTGAAAAGTTCTCTGCATGGTTCAGTAACAATGCTCTAACTGTTGTATCAATGACAGCAGGCCAAAAACAAGCAGGACTGATAAGCAGCACCAAACAGTGTCAGCAGGTTTAAACTGTGTTTGTTTTTGAGGAAACGCGTCACACATCTGATCACTGAGACGCAGCTAAAGGTAAATCAGTTAATTTATGTTGCTCTGTGTGTGCACTGCTGAGAAAAAACTCACAAATACTTTTGTGCTCTCTGCAGTTTCCCTTATGGTCCGGTGTCTGTGTGGAAGCGTGACTAAAATCCTCAAACAGCGCAAACCGCTCGGCTCCCTGTAAAATGTAACTGTCCTGCCTTTAATACCCAACCTGGGGCTCTCCTCCTCCCTCGTCACTGAAAACAACAGTGCTCTATGATAGCTGTCTAAAAAAGTTAAGAGAAATGAACCCAAACAATGCAGCAATCAGTGGGTTTATGGATGTTTTTTTAAGTCAGCACAGATCCTCCCACACACATACACACACACACACACACACACACACACACACACACAGAGTAAATCAGTGTCACAGAGAATGTTGTTTCCATGGGGATGGCAGCATTCATTATCACCAGTCTCGCACATTTTCTTACTGTCTCTTGAGGCAGACAGGTAACTACGGTAACCAGACACCACGCTCACAGACACATGTCCAGTGGGCTACCATGGCAACAGCAGCCCCGAACCGGGTAACCTCTCAAGTCGTTTCAGTCTGAACATTTGTCAGCTGAGCTGGAGTTTCCGTGGTGACGCCTGCTGTGTATCATTTGTCCAGAAACATCTGGAGCCTCTGATTTGTTCTCCGCGTTTAAAGGGAACGTTTAGGAAACTCGCATGTTAATATTTGTTTGCACACAATATGTAGGTAAGGAATCAACATGTGAGGAACAATCAGGTTTTTGGGTGGCACTCAACGGTGGGAACCTCCCCTGCCCACAACGGAGTAAATCATTCAAAATGGCTCTGAAACGACTTCTTTTATCAAGAGAAGAAAAAATGATTAAAAAGCAACTTTTTAATCCAGGAGAAGAACAGCAGTAAAAATGAAAGAGAGACGAAAACTCAAAGTGTTAGTGATGAATCTGTGTAGTTCATGCGAGGATGAGGGGGGTTTACGTTGCCCCTGTTGAAATCTACACAGAGTTTGCATTGGTGAGACAGAGAGAGATAATGTGCTGCAGTGATTGATGCAGCAGTTACCCAGCAGACATCGACAACAGAGGTCCAGTCACACCGGCTCTTTTTACAAAACAAGAAAAGCTAAACACATCATTTCCTTTAAAAAAACAGAAATTAAAGCATGCATGTTTTTTGTTTTTAGTAAAAAAGCACTTGATTGGTCGCTGGACTCCATTAAGAGAAGACAGGAAATAAAAACCCAACAAAATAATCACCAGCTCAGCTGCAGCTTCTAGAAAGTCTCATCTGTCAGCTTTAATCTTTCTGAACAGGAAACAGGAAGAGCCTGAAACGCTCCATGCTTACCAGCCTGTGAGGCTACGCTCGTACAGGACAACACCCACCCAATAACATTTAAACATGTTAAATATGTGGTGACATGCAAACATCTCATCCTTTAGCTGCTCAGTCCCTGAGGAAACACCTCCTGGAGGTGTCCAGGAAGTTCCCTTGACAGGTGCATTTTATTGTGGAGTAGTTGCACGTCTATTATAATAGTTTTGTGTTTTCTTTTTTTCTATTTTAATTTTTTTTAATTACTTAAGTGCAATGATGAGGTTAACACTGACACCACAAACTGTTGCAAAGCTCTAAATCAGGTCTTGTGAAAATGTGAAACAATGTAAAAGTTTAAAACTGGAATTTTAAACCGTGACGTTTTCCCTCAGCGTGGTGACGTGCCTCACCTGTCCAGGTAGTTGACTATGTTTGGGTTCTTGTTTTCCCTCATCACCAGAATCTCGTTGATGATCAGCTCCTTTTTCGGCTGCTGCTGCAGGTTCATCTGTTTGATGGCAACCTTTAGGGAGAAAAATAATAGAGAGAGGGAAGAATTATTATAAGGAGAAATCTGTGTATGAGGTATAACGCAAGAGGATGACAGACAGACAGAGAAAAGGCCACGAGGCGGAGAAGTATTTAAATCTGAAGGTAGTGAAAGGCTCGTGGCAGACATTTAAACGCGAGCACACAGACTGATCCTCAGAGAGCGAAGCTGAGGAGGATTATTCCGACAGACGAGCGAGCTGAGGGTTAAAATCAACCTGGAAGTCTCGGTAAATGAAGCCAGACTAAATCCACTAACGGGTGTTTATATCATCCCAGTGCAAACTCCATATGATCACTTCTGCCTTCCTCTTCTTCACTTCATCTCATCTGATTAAAGTCTGCACCAATCGACACGTTCTTCAAACTTCCTGCTGAGTTTTTAACGTCACGCTGTTAGTTTAGTTTAGTCTGAGACTCCGTCTGGGGAACGAATCAAGGTTTTCCTTTAAACTGGCCTTTCAGACTTCAGGGCGTTTAAGCCTCAGCAAAAGGACTACTTGTATTCTGGGACAACAGGACATCACACAGACTTGAGAGCTGGCAGGTTAAAGACCAGCTGGTGTCCAGTCTGACTGAGACGTCCTCGCTTCTCTCTTTGAGGAGTCCAGTCCTCAGATACAAGCACCAGTGCTGTCAGATCTACTGTGGAAGGCTGTTTTTAAGAGAGATGAAACAATAGAAAGAGCAGTTTTGTTGCTTGTTCACCATAAAGAAGCCAAAGTGTGTCGATCAGGGAGGTCAAACTCATTCTACACCGTGAGCCACGTACAGCTCGCTTTGATCTTAGTGGGCCGGACCAGAGAAAGTCGTCTTTCGGTCAGAAGTTTAACTACACATTTAATCCCTGAGATATTCTCAAATGAAAAAATGAGTATAATTTCAACATCTGCATCTCAGTTTTTCTACATGATGAACAAATGCTGCTTCGGGCTGGGAGCAATAATTGTGTACAATTAGAAAATACATTTATTAGCTCACTGTGCAGATTTGTTATTATTGAATCTTTTTTTTATTACTTATTTACTTTGGTGTTGTATGGATGGCCGGGGGGGAAGTCATAAAATTGTAAAAAGTATAAAGTTACAGGTTAAAGTTAAAATTTATGTCCACTTTTTCCGTTCAGTGAGCCAGACTGGAGTCTTTGGCGGGCTGTCTGCCCCCCGGGCCTTATGTTTGACACCCCTGGTGTAGATTAACATCACACAGTGGTTTAGTTTTCCTTCTGTTTGCTTCAGGTGGCGCTGACTTACACATTAAACATCTGCATGTATGTCTGTGTATCCTGTAAGTCCCTATATCGTTATGTCTGAGCGAGAAAACACTCCATACAAAATGTTGGTAAAGCCACGAATAGTTGGAGGTGAAATCTTTTATCTCGATTCTTGTCCAAACGTGGACGTTTCCCACCTTTACTGTGCACATCAAATGTCTCAGCAGCTACTTGCAGGATTTTAATAATGTGTTTCCTTTGTATCTGAAAGAACAGAGAAATGTGAAGAGGAGAAGAAAATCATGCTGAGGACAAATAAGTACCTCCTGTCCTGTGGCGACGTCGATAGCTGTGTACACCGTCCCAGACGCCCTGAAACAGACAGCAGAGATCCTCAGTTAAACATCACACAGCAGGACTTTGTGAGCTCATAAAAGTCATAAATCCTTCTCTTTTATCTTCTTTATGACGGCAGGAAAGTTTTTTCTTTGTTAAAACCGCAGCTTTCAAACATTACAGCTGAGCCTCTGCTGCCTTTTATGACCTTTAAATGTAGTCTTTAAATCACAAACGTCCATCGGCAGTTAATATTACTTTACATTTATACCCTCTGAATCTGCTTTAGTGACATTTTAAAATAATGAAGACACAGATGTTTCACCAAAGGAAGCTGAAGTGCAACAAGAGAAACAACGATGGAAAAATCGCAAATAATCGTTTTACGTTTTAAAGTGAAACATTTGGTTGTTTTGCTTTTTGTTTTGAAGCCGGCCTGGTTTCCACATCATCAGCGACTCACTGTGATGAAGTTTGGTGACTTAAAGTACAGAAGCAGCGAGCTAACCAAGCTAGCTGCTATCACACTCAAATATGAGCTGTGTCCCAATTCCTAGGCCGCATCCTTCGGAGGACCTCGGTCTAGCTGGGCCAGGTCCTTCAAAGACTGAGCAGGCCGGAAGTGCGAGGCTGTGAAATTGGACTGTCTAACCTTCAGATTTGCGTCACCAGCTCTCGGTGGAGTTTAATTAACTCGGCCGTCTGCTCCTTGCTATCTAAAATATATCAGGACACGAGTAAATTCTATCATCATTAAATAATTTCTGTTTATTCAGTTTTCTGTGTAACGTTTATTCAGCTGTGTAAAAACTATAACTTCAATCTCAGCCAAACCGATTTACTCAGGAACAAATAAAACATTTTTAAGTTATCTAAGTGACTTATATATCATGTTTCACCTGAGTATCGAAGGACCGCGGGGGTCTGAAAACGATGAAGCCGGGAGTCCGGTGTTCTCGCCGGCTCTAGTGAGCCTTGAACCCCGGTCAGCTATCGAGCTGATGGGTAACAGACATCTCCGAAAATGTCGGCGCACTTTTGCAATTATATGATATTTGAAGTTTACACAGCTACATTCTCGCCTGAAAATATCTTAAGAGTTTATTTTGTGACCCAGAAAGAGTCATATTAAAACTAAATAGCTGCCGCCATTGTTGGGAACTGGAATTGGCTGTACTGCGCTATGAATTCTGGGTTGGTTGGACCACGAAGGATACGCCCGACCCGTCCTTCAAATCTGGGGAAACGAAGGACGCATTTGTCGGAGTCTTCAAATTGGGACAGCCTTCATCGCTTGGCTGTAACGTAATCGGCCTTCAAATGCGGCCTTCGAAGGATGCGGCCTCGGAATTGGGACACAGCAATGGTCACCTCCTGCTCCAGAAATCCAACATGGCGGCCGACAAAGCGTTAATATTAAGACCAATGGAGTCCAAAACCACAGGGGAACATCCATCATTTAGGTTCAGTTTGTAGTCATTCAACACCATCACGTACAGATTGTACTGTATGAATATTTATTGTGTACATGCTAAGATTCATGTTTCGAACACAGATGGCAGATTTTGGACTCACCCCTGTCCGATCTTCTCAAATCGTGTATATTTCTTCTTGGGGTCGCCCACACTGACGATCGTCCCTGAGTTAGAGGAAGGACAAAGAAAGAAGAGAAAAAACTTTTATCACAGCAGCTTTAAGGATCTGCAGGAAAACAAATGATAATAAATAAAAATAAAAAACAGGCCCTCACTGAGAGCTGAAATATTTTTATACGCGGATTTACAGAATCGCTGAATTTGGATGGATAGAAAAGTCGCGTGTCTTTCTATCCATCCTAGTTCTACTCTACGTTCATCACACTGAGGTCGATGCAGCATGCTGACTGGGAGGAAGAGCAGAGAGAAGAGAGGTGGAGAGAGGTGGAGAGCAGTAACGAGCGATGGGCGGGTCAGAGATAAAACAGGACGTGAGAAAGGTCAGAACTGTAAAGTCAGGATGGAAGAGACAGAAACAAAGAGAAGCTCTGCCTGCAGTTCAGAATTACAGGACAAAACTTTAAGTCACTCTTTTAGGAAACGATGGAAAGATAGGACAGCCAATCAGACGTGAGGATTGGACAACTGGGGGCGGGACAGAGGATATCAGGTCTGTCGATCAGAAGAGGCAGACAGACGAGCAGTATCCTGGTCTTACCAGCAGAGGGAGACCTGAGCACATCTGGACAGGCGCGTGGCATGGTTCAAGAAATATATACAGGCTCTTACTCAAACATTCAAACATTTCACTGCAGCGAAGAAAGCTTTAAAACTGTGCTCACTTTAAATAATAATTATTACATAATTACTTTAAAGTACTACACTTCTGAGCAGAGATGAGATGCTTTAATGTGCTGGTTTATTTAGGTAGAGCTTTTTATTTTCTCCATTAATTCTCCTTTTGTACCGGTGCACTGAATCATTTTAGTCTTTCAGATTTTAATCTGACAGATGCAGCCTACAATCAGGGTCACAGGTCAAAAAAAATCAATCAGTGCCTCCCACCTGACTCAGAATCACCTGATTTCTTTCAGATTAATGCTATTATTATGTTCAGAGTTACAGGCGTTACAGGGGGGGGCGATGAAATGTGTTTTAATGAATATTTATTCAGGATATTTGAGTCCTCGTAGCTTCAGGAGATAAAAACCAGTGAGTTATTATTAACCTTCCTTTTTAATAGAAAAACCTCACAGACCCTTGAGTTAAACATGTGGGACGTGCTCCCTCCCAGGTAGCCTAAAAACCTTTAAATCAAGTAAAAAATAGAATAAAATCTCCTGTGTTTGACTCTTACTCTCATCTGGCTCATGTCAGCTGCCAGAGTCAGTGGAGAATATCTGCGAGTCTGCAGGAAAGTTCAAATATCCGTTCATATCTGTGGATCACTTCCTAGAAAAAAACAAACCGGGATCTTTTATTGTTAGTATATCCGCACAGCTCTGTGGGGTCACGCAGGGGGCGGTGGAACCAGAATATGAAGATTTGTACTTCCTATAATAACATTTTTCACAGGAACAGCGAGCGAGCGCAGGCGGATATTTTAGTTAGCAAGAAGTGATAATGTTATATAAGTTCTTTCACTTTGCTTCACAGACTGCAGCCCTTCAAGCACAGCAAAAAGCAAAATCTTTCATGGCGATGGAAAGTCTGAGCAAATGAAGCAGAAAACAAGCTGCCCACAGACACACGTGGAAGAAAGGAGGTTTTTATGATGCTACGCTGATGTCTTACTCATAAATGATGTTAAACGTGAAAATAAGAATCAGTTTGCTGAAATCAGCAGAGAGACGAGCCCAAAATAAACTCGAAGCCTGCTCTCTGAGGGAAGCTGCGCGTGCAGATAAAGCGATGAAATGTCCTGTCACGACTAAGAGAAGCTAAAATTAGCTGACGGACACTCTGCGCTCTGCAGCAGGTACATCAGAATATGGATGGATTATCAGGACCACAGGCCTCAGACTCAAACCTGCACACTGAGCCTGCACTTCCTAACTGCAGAGTTCACGCTGAGATTCACACCGCTCCTCTGTTAGCTTCCATATCTGACACATACAGTAAAGTATGCACAAACATTTATGTCTTAAAAAAACTGCCGTCTGATCTACAGCACCGACTTTCATTGATCAACTTGTTAAAGTCCACCTCAGGCTGTTCAGGCGAGCTCACTCTGAACATGTTTAAAAAGGACCCCTCCATATTAAAAAAAAAAAAAAAAAAAAAAAGACAAAGGATGAACTGAAGCTCTGCCATCACGTAATGTCGCATACTACTGTTTCTGATGTCATTTAAAAAATAAAATAAAATAAAATAAAATAAAAAAAATAAAAAGGACCCCTCCCCTCGGCTGGAAGCATCAGACACTCTGAGCCGTATTTGTTTGGAAAATGCTGAATGTGAATCCGTAATCAGGAACCTTTTTCCTCCACAGCAGATGTCAGAGGGTGCAGTGACCTTCCCTCGCACTGCTGCTCCGTCACCATCGCTCATCGCCCTGTGACCTCTGGCTAGCAGCATTAGCATCCAGGACTGTGGCAGCTTTTCTCTCTTTATGCTTCCTCCCTGTCGACCTGCAGCCTACGTCATTATGATTTCATTCAATCAGCTTATTTCTAAAGCATTCAAACCATTTAAAAAAATGTTTCTACATTTTCATAATGTCTTTTGAAAATGTAGAAACATTTTTTAATGTACACATTAAAGAACACTAAAAGGCTCTCTGCCTGACTCCAGCTCTCTGGGGATCTGCCCCTTTGTCCGAGTGGTAATCTGTCTCTGTCAGAGGTCAGCGACCTGCACACACATTAAACATATTTGAGGCTTTTAATGAAGGTGACAAAGCCTGTTAATGGCAGCTGAGCCGGTCAACATTCCTGAAAGTTACGATCCAGATATTTTACCACGTGTGATTATTCTGCAGTGCCTTAATGCCTTTAAGCATGATCAGACAAAGCTCTGCAGCCACTTTGAGTCTGAGCTTCTGTTCTTCATCTGTACGAAGGCGGGATGAAGAAAATGACCTTTTTTATATTAATTTCTACAAATTGCTGAACCTCAGTTTGTGCTGGAGATAAATGTCTGAGCAAACTTTTTAGGGAACGACAGTTATGTCTAACTCACAGCACGAAGGGACAACAAACTGAGTCCAGAAACAACAATCCAGCGCTGCCAGCACAACTTTAAAGTGCTACAGAAACAGCATGCTGCTCTTTTATACAAAATCTTTGACGCCACCTCAAAGCTAGGCGGGTGACGCCGACACGGAGCTTATGCCGAGTCCAAACAACAGGACGCAGCTGAAGAGGCTCACTCGCTGTCACCACGTTTATCTGTGGGCTGTGTTTTTAAAGCTTTTCTGTTCTCAAACCCATCAAAACTAAAGAGTTTTCAACTAAACTGAAATGAAATCTCACTCTGGAAACTAACTGAAACCAGACTGAACAGAAAATTCAAATCTAAAAATAATCAATAAAAATAACTTGGCTAGCAGGTGTGAGCCATGAGCCCTCACAGCCATTACTGTGTGGAGTTACAGCTGTTGCCCAAATCTCAGCACAGCTCCGTCAGTCAGGGCTGAATCTCCACCTCAGCACAGTAACCGTTACCGGGGTCAGATTTGTCGTGTTAGCGTGCTCCGAGTGTCTGAATGAGCCTTACGTAGCTTCTCCAGGATCTCCTCGTCAGACATCTTCTTCTTCCTGGCTTTGTCCTGTGGGTGGGGCAAGGAAGGACCAGGGGCGGGGCTAGCACTGGGAGGGCTGCTGGGAGCTGCTTCTGCAGGTTGGGCGGGGGTGACGGCGGCGGCCGCGGCGGTCGGTGGAGAGATGGGTGAGGTCGCAGCATCTTTCGTGGGAGGAGGAGGGAGGGGCTCGATCACTGAGCGAGTGTAAATCTGAAAGATGAAAAAAGTCACTCCTGTTTTTATCTGTGGTGCCAAATAGACGTTTAAAGACGAAGCTGAAAGACATTAAAACAGCTTTTGTTATCTGTTCATCTCCTTTTGTCCACAGGCCTCTGGAACAGAGACGCGGACATCAGTGAGACACAGTTTAAATAAAGGCTGATTGTCTGTAAGCCATAAAAACACTGGAGAGTGAATCTAAAGTAAAAGTAATGATTTTAACTGAGGCAAACACACAACACAGCAGTGTGTGTGTGTGTGTGTGTGTGTGTGTGTGTGTGTGTGTGTGTGTGTGTGTGTGAGAGAGAGAGAAAGAGAGATGGTGAGAGTCAGGTGCATGAGACTCATCACCGAGGAAACTGCAGTGGCGCCGTGGAAACAGCCTCTCAACCGCAAACTGTCTGAGTGAGAAGCAACAATGTGTGTGTGTGTGTGTGTGTGTGTGTGTGTGTGTGTGTGTGTGTGTGTAGGATGAGATGAAACAATGTTGCCTGACAACAACAGTGACAGTAAAAAGCTGTCATTGTCTTTGATGCCAAAAATTGGAAGTTTACTATAGTTGTGTGGACCAACAACATCCAGGTCCCCATGGGTTTGAAGGCATTTTTGAGACTCAAAATGTGGTTTTAGTGTCAGGGTTACAATTGGGTTATGGTTAGGTTTAGGGTAAGGGTTAGGGTTTGGCATTCGTTTTTGATGGTTAGGGTTGCGGTAAGCAGCTAGAGAAAACATTATGTCAATGAGATGTCCCCATAAGATATGAATACCTGCCGTGTGTGTGTGTGTTAAGCTCGTATGTGCAGTGGCAGAAAGGCGACAGCGTTTGTGTTCTTACTGATTTGGTGTGCTCCGGTCGGGGGGCGATCACCGGCGGGGGCTCGGCCTCGTCTTCGTCCTCATCCTCAGATACGGTTGCTATGGCGGGTGTCTCGGACACGGCCTTGGAGCTCTGCGTGATGTCACAGGGAGAGAGAGGGCGGAGCCTCAGTGACATCATGGTCACATGAGCCACGAACGATACCAGACCCATCATCGCTTCCTGAATTTCCTGCCACTTCCTCTACTGCTTCACTGTCTCATCATACAGAGGAGTCCTCCGGCCCGTCTTTAGCTCTCCTCCTTCTTCTCTGATTTCAGCCTCCCGCTCTGTCTTTCCACCCTGTTTTCCCTCCTCTCATCATCACTGCTGTCTGAAAGCTCAGGTCACATCTGGCTTCTGACGCCACTACATGCCACACATCCTACCTTTCTATCCCTCTCTTCCTCTCTGTCTCTCGCTGATAGTCTGACGCTCGGCTGGTGGCCAAGCTGCAGAGACAGGGAAACGGTGAAAGGAGGAAAAGATGCTGATTCACAATGCAGAGAGAGGGAGAGAGAGAGAGCGGGAGGAAGAGGAGTGCCATCATCCTCCTCCCTCTGTCTCTTATTCTCACCTTTACATTTGGGTTTAAATGTGTCTTTCAGAAAACACACACACACTGCGACAAAAACAAAACATCCTCATTCATTCAACAAGAATTTCTCAGCTTAAAGCTCGAGTCTGTCGTCCAGCAATAAAGCTGGCTCTGTATTTGAAACCAGGAAGGACACCTGTGCCATAAGATGCTCAGAAAAAAGCATTTATTCGTTTATACTATTATCTAACAAGAAAAAAGTAAAGTAGACTAGCTCAGTAAAATATATTACAATCAAAAACTGCTCAAAAGAAAAGCACTTAGTTAAATAAGATGAAATCAATAACTTTCTAAACAAAAATCGAAATAAAATATGTAAAAACCGGAATATATAGAAGAAAAATAACTGAAAAATACATTTGCCTGCTTCCTGTAGGGGGCGCCACAGCGGCTCATCTGCCTGGTCCTGCATCCTCCTCTATCACACCAACCTCCTTCACTACATCCACAAACCTCTTCCTCGTTTCCTCCTGCCTGGCAGCTCCATCCTCGTCATCCTTTGTCCAGTTTATCCCAGTTTAACCCTCTGTACACACCCAAACCAGCTCAGCCTCGCTAATTTTGTCCTAATTTTAATCATGAACCTCCCAGTTAACATCTTCAACTCTCCCACAGCCGGCTCAAACACAGCTAAATAAAATATGAATAAAATCCAACATGAAACTGTGTAAAGTGTAAAAATGAGTGAAGTAGAATCAATTTTTGAATTCATTTTAAATAGCAGGGTGTAAAAGGAAGTTTCAGAAAATGACCTGTTGGCTTAGGTAACAGCTAAACTGATGGAAAACGTGCAGACGCAGCTAATAATGAGAGGAAGCCTTCCTCACAGTGCTGCCTGTATGTGGCTGTGTGAGAGAATAACGCTGTGACTGAAGAGGTCTCACCGTTGTGGTGGAGGAGCTGAAGGCGTCAGCAGTTTTATCTGAAGGAAACACAACACAAACACAAAGTTGAGTGTTCAGAGCAGATTGAGCTTTTAGGCTGTGAGGCTCATTGTTTGAGCTTTGTTTAATGTGAACTGAACGTTATTGTGAATGCACGTAGGCGATGGGAGCACAGCAGGGGGGCGGGTCTTACCAGTGAAGCTCATGTACTTCTGGCTGTTGGTCGTTTCTTTCGAGTCGTAGAACTTTAAAACATCGAGGACGGCCTGAGGGTTCTTCTTCTGCTCCAGCTTGGTGATGTTGGATGTCTGCAGAAGCCGAGCCCACTGCTCCGGCATCCCCTGCACACACACAGATAAAAAATATCAATATTTTATTCATTTATTTCTATGTGAACTGTATTATTATAGTTTACCTTTGTTAATGGCAACATTAACAACACAAATAACACAGCAAAGAGCAAACTCTGTGTATGAAAAATGACGCTAACAGTGAAATACTGAAACCCTTGTTATTCTCAGAGTTGTAGCATTAAACTGGATTTGCTGCTCACAGAACATCTGCTGCCATTATAAGTTTGTATCTCTGTGAAACACCAACTAATGTGAAAAACACGGCCCTCTGCACGAGAGTGTTCCCTAAACAGGCTGAAAGATTCAAGGTCATTCAGCAATTTTACAGCGGCGTTGTGGATATGAATGCAGCTTAAGCTAAACTTAGCATTAGCTGATAACGTATCGCAGCCAGTATACCAAAGCTGAGGCTTCAAAATGTGAAGTCTAGAAACCATCGAGTGACGTCCTGCTTTTACATACAGTCGATGACTACAGTAAGGAACACACACACACACACACACACACACACACACACACACACACACACACACACACAC